TTCTTGCTAGAGCCTGAGTGGCACATCAATCTTGTTTATGACCTGTTCGTCCCACTGGAAGAAAATAAGGGGCACAGTCTCTCAATGAACTCTGAGCTGGCTAGGAGAATTTCCCTTAGGAAGATTAAGAAACCAACTTAGTTCCACTCCACTCCCAGGAGTCTCTTGTTGGGTTTGACTTTAGGAGGCTAAAGCTCCCATCACTGCTGCTGGCTCCCAGTTCTGTCCTGGTGGCTTGGCTCAGAGCTCCATTACTTGCTCTTGCTTCCTGACAACAAGAATTCGGGCAGCCCTCAGGATTGTGATAAAGTTCTTGGCAATAGATTCTTCTCATTAGGACTTGATTCATGAGCGTCTAGCCCTCCAAGCTGTGTTCCATCACCTTTGGTAGATAGCCCACTGTCAAGTTTTCCCTGTCTAAACAGACAGGCTGAATGTTTCTCTTCTTCTGTTAATATAAGATTTTGAATTCAACATACCAATCCCAGCATTTCCCATTTGCCACATATTTTCTTTGCAGCAGTGAGATAGTTTGTGTGTGGAAAAAATCTCTTTGTTGTCAAGGTAGATAACCCTGTTTTAAAAATTGATGTTTATTTAATCAATGTAATGTCCCTAATTGGTAAAACATTTGATAGTCTACAGAGTATATGATTTTGAGCAGTATTTTTACACAATTTATAATTGCATTTACACATATATTTTTATAAACTTTTTCAAACAGAGTCCATAACAAATACATTCCCTTTCTGAATTTATTTTGACAATATTCTATTGTTTCGAAAAACTTCTAATCTATAGAACAATGGAAGGAGTAGTTTAATAGATACTCTTTTACTCTTTATATAGACTGTTAATATTTTACTGATTACTATATTTATTGGTTTTTTTTTTGCCAAATAATTTGAGAGTAAGCTGCAAACATTATGATACTTCACCCCGAATTCTTTTCCATGTCTCTTTTAAGAATGAGGGCATTCTTCTACATGATCATAGCACAATCATCACACTTAGGAATTAACATAGAGAAAGTATTCTGATATATTGATATCTAATATGCAGTTCATAGTCAAGTAAGGATTTTGATAACTCAGGATCTATAAATGGTCTCCAAGGTTGGTCTCTGTAGACCTGCACTCAGTGGGTAGCATTTCCCTGTCCCAAGTGCCTGCTCTGTGGTACCTTCTTCCATTGACTCCAGTAATCACTCAGAGTTTCTTCCCTCAGCTGTTGACATTTTAACTTTCTGCCTATTTCTCAAGCTGCAGCAGTTTTTCTTATGCCGTTTTGGCTGTAAGTCCCACTGCAGCTGTCAGTGCCCAAGGGATTTTATCTCCTCTGGATGGAGTCAATTACGTAGCTATTAACCTGTCTGAGTATGTCTGCTATCTACCTCCTCTTGGTCTAGAAAGCTGTCTTAGTCCTTTCAGGTTGCTATAACAAAATACCATACACTTGGTGGCTTATTATCAACAGAAATTGATTTCTCACAGTTCTGTAGGCTGAGAGGGCAAAGATCAGAGTGCCTAGCAGGTTCGACATCTGGGGAGGGCCTGCTTCCCGGTTTATAGATGGTGCCTTCTTGCTGTGTCTTCACATGGTAGAAGGGGTGAGGCAGCTTTTGGGGGCCTCTTTTATAAGGCACCAATCCCACCCATGAGGGCTCCCATCATGCCCTAGTCATCTTCCAAAGGCCCCGCTTCTTAATACCTTACCCCAAGGTATTAAGGTAATTAGATAAGGTATAAAGGTAAGGTATTAATATCCTATTAATGTATTTAGGTAAAGTATTAAGGTAATACTTTGGGATAAGGTGTTAAGGAGTGCAGTAAGGTAAGGTAGTCTTACGTTGGGGGTAAGAATGTCAACATATGAATTTTAGGGGGACACAGACATTCAGTCTATAGCAGAAATAAACTTAATTTATAGTAGGTAAAATCTGGTTTCTAGTTTATGAGTTTAGCAGGTATTTGACTCAGGTTTCCTCAATTTAGTGAAGCCACATAAAATGGTATAGGTCTGATTTTTCCCTCTGGACATCCATATCCCAAGCCATTGTGTCTCCTCCATGGCATGTCCTAGACTTAGAATAGTTGCTACCATTCCTCTGGCTTTCTAGTGGGATCGTAAGAACCTTCAGAGTGTAGAGCAGGTCAACTTGTCCCATGATTCAGATACTCAGTCACAGTAAAGATGTACTCTAAGTTCAAGACAAGTGAGATAGTTCAGTCTCTGATAGTAGCCTCCAAATATAATCCATGCAAGTCCCAGCCACCTCAAAACCCTTTGTCAATAAATAATTAGCAGTTCAACAAAAAACAATAAGAAAAGAAAAATAGCAGTTCAGCAACTAAATGACCGTTGTAAGTTTTATAATCATTACTTGAAAAAGAATACACAGAGGGATTTCATTAATTGGGAGCAGAAACGTTCTCATGTCTGTTTCTCTCTAATTCCATTGCTGTGTAACAACTATGACTCCTCACACTTCCCTCTTGCCCCATTCCAAGTTTCTTCAAAAAGGCTTTCCTCCAGTCTCGATAGCATAGATTCTTTCTCCTCTCTCCCTGCTTCTCTCTCAGCACTTTATCGTTGTAGGTCAACGTAGCCTCCATGGCTTGTTTCCTTTCTGACAAATTTCCCCTTTACCCAGATTCTTCCCTAGGAGTAGTAGAATGGGAACAGAAGCAGCAAGAAAATGTCCTTCATTCTCAGGAAAGACGGGACCAGAGGGAAAGAAGAAGACAGCAAACACTCATTATTTGATATTTTTATTCTATTTATTTCATATTTATTTTTAAATGGTTTGATCACAAAATTTAACACAGAATGATACTTTTTCTCTGAGACTAGGCTATGCACCTTGTCTAAAACGTTAGGAAGCTCAGAAATAAATCCAGAGATGTCCTGGTCTTTGCTCTTTGTCTATTCATTCTATACCAGCAAGTTTATTGATTTATTTCAAGGCAATTTATTCTGATGTTTTTAAAGAGCTTCTTTGTAAATGCACTTTCAAATAACAGAAAGCACATTCAAATAACCGTATCAAGATACAGATCACATACCATAAAATTCATTTCTTAAAAACGTACAATTGAGTGGTTTTTGGTATATTCACATACTGCAAACAACGCTGCTATCTAATTTCAGAACATTTTCATCACCCCCCAAAAGGAACCCTGTACTCAGAAGCAGTTTCTCCCCATTCTCCCCTCCCACCAGCTCCTGACCATTTCTGGATCTTTCATATAAATGGAATCATAGAATATGTGGTCTTTTGCAATTGGTTTCTTTCGCTTGCATATTCTCAAGGTTCATTCATGTTGTAGAGTGTCATAGAACTCCATTCTTTTTTGTTGCTGAATAGCATTGCGTTTTATGACTCTGCTGTGTTTTGCTTTTCCATTCATTAGCAGATGGAAATTTGGGTTGTTTTCACTTTTCAGTGGTTGTGATTATGTGGACCTAATTTTTCAATTTTCTTTGTTATATACTGGGAAAAGACAGAATTGCTGGATCATGTGGTAACTCTATTTTTACCTGTTTTCCATAGCAGCAGCACCATTTTACAATCCCATCCACAGTGTGTCAGAGTACCAGTTTCTCCACTTCCTTGCTAACAGTTGTGATTGTCTTATTTTAGCCAACTTAGTGGATAGTGAGTGGTAGCTCATTGTATTTTTTTAATGTTCCTTAAAATTTTTTTTTTGTCTGTGAAGAATTGCTTCAAATCTGGGGTGGCGGGTACACCTTAAAGCCCAGACCGAATCTATTTGTACTCCCAAAAGCTATTGAAATAATAAAGGAAAGTGCTTCAAATTCTTTTTAAGTTGTAATACAATAAACATAATATGTACCATTTTAACCTTTAATATGTGTAAAATTCAGTGGCATTAAGTACATTTACAATGCTGTGCAACTATCACCCCTATTCATTTCCAGAATTTTCCCATCATCCCAAACTGAATCTCTGTGCCCACCAAAGCATGGCTCCCACTTCTCCTTTTCCCCAGCCCTCGGTGATTTTTCTGTGTGTTATTTCTATGAATTTGCCCATTCTAAGTACTTTGTATAAGTTTGCCGGAGAACACAGTTGTTGTCTTCCATCTCCCATACTCATTGGCAAAATCAAAAGACACTTCTGAAAAATTGCCAATCTATATTGTCTTCACAGCAGTCATGAAGACTTGCTGAGGGGGATTTCAGGTCAGTCTGTGTCTGGCTTATTTCACTTAGCATGTTTTCAAGGTTCATCATTATGTGTCATAATTGCATTCCTTTTTTTAACTTCTATTCTTTTTATTAGCAGCTCTGGTATAATCTTAACCAATAGGCTAATACAGAAACATGCCTCATACTCCAGCATACTCTGTTTTGGATTTAAGATCCTGGGACAGCTTCCTCAAGGGAGGCACCATTCTTCCCCTTTGTTGGCTGGAGAACACAGTTGTTGTCTTCCATCTCCCGTACTCATTGGCAAAATCAAAAGACACTTCTGAAAAATTGCCAATCTATATTGTCCTCACAGCAGTCATGAAGACTTTCTGAGGGGGATTTCAGGTGGGGCTTCCCTAGGGAGAAGAAGAAAACATTAGAAGAGGAGACATTTTGATCTTCCTAATGTTTATATGCCCAAGGTGTCCCATTGGTAGGGGCAGAAAGTTCATGTTCCTTTTGTGTATGAAACTTGTAAGAGTGTGTGTGCATACCAGCAGGCTTAATTTTAGTATCTAGCTCCAGAGTCATGCTGTCTACAATCTTATCTCCTTAATTTTTCAAATAAGAGTACTCTAATATGTTACTTATGAACAGTAACTGTCTTAAGACATGTTCATCCAGCACATATACTTAGCAAAGTTTGTGTAACTATTTGGGAATAAATTCCATTCTTTATTCATAAAAGTTATGAAGTGAATTCCATTGACTTTTGATTTGTGTTGTTGACACAGTTTTCCCAAATAAATGCACAATAAATTATCCACATTCTCTTGACTTTTTAGATTAAAACTTTGGAACAGACTAAAGCCATTGAAGATCTAAGTAAATCCAGAGACAAGCTGGAGAAAATGAAGGAGAAAGCTGAGAAAAAGCTAATGTCTGTCAAGTCAGAACTGGATACTACAGAACATGAGGCTAAGGAGAATAAAGAAAGGGCCAAAAACATGATTGAAGTGGTAACCAGTGAAATGAAGACACTAAAAAAATCTCTGGAAGAAGCAGAAAAGAGAGAAAAACAGGTGGATATAAATATGGTATCAAAACATTCTTGTTTAGGAATTGATAGGACAATTTGAAAGCTTGATCATTATTCATGTATTTCTTTTTAAGAAAAATATGGAATGGTTAATGAATGTACGTCATCCCTTTACAGGGACCATGCTAATCTTCTCGGTGTTGTTCCAATTTTAGTACATGAGCTCCCAAAGCAAAACACTATCCGTACATTTCTTCAAAAACAATTTACAAAGCTTTCTCTACCCTTTTTAAACATTTCTGCCTTCCCTCCAGCATCTTTTTGGCATTCAAATAATCAGTGTGATTTACTCTGCTAAGAAAAATTATTAACATTTTCATGGCACAATGTGTAGGAAAGAAAAATATGTTCTTTTCAAAGCAGTGGAAAGGTTTGGTGAAAAACCAGGTTCTGGTTCTGGCAAGGTTTTTGTTGTGTTCAATGATTGCCTGTGAAGTTTGCATCATCCCAGATCTCTTGACGTTAACCAGGGCTTTGGCTTCAGGAAGGAAGCCATATCTTTAGCAGAGATCAGTTGCAGGAAACAGCCCCAAATCTCAAACAGTGGCACCCAGACTTAGTGGCCAACCAAGCACAGATGTAAGCCATAAAAAAAGTACTCATTCGCTCCCTGGTTGCAGGGAGGAGGTTTATCTACTGAGTCCATCAGGAGGTCAGGCAAAAAGAAACATGTACTGGGCAGCTTGACCTCCATTGCTTTGGTTTTTATCTCATTCTCTTTCTAAAGCTCAAAAGGGCATAGACTGGACTCTGACCCTAGGATTCCCCCCGCTTTGGCTGCCTCTGCTTTGGCTCATGTGTTCTCAGAAAGAAAACCTCTCAGACATTCTGAGCTTTGGCCACATTCAAAAGGATAGAAGAGTCTGAGGGACACTTTTTTCATCTGGGTGGCTAAGTTGGTGTCTTAGTCCTTTCAAGCTGCTATAACAAAATACCATGGACTGGGTGGCTGCTAAACAACAAGAATTTATGTTTCATGGTTCTGGAGACTGGGAAGTCCAAGATCAAGATTGTCTGGTGAGGTCAATTTCCTGGCTTGAACCAGCCAGTGCTTTCTTGCTGTGACCTGACATGGTGGAATGGCAAGACAGCTCTCTGGGACCTCTTTTTAAGGGCCCTACTCCCATTCATGAGGGTTCCACCCTCATGACCTAATCACCCACCAAAGGTCTTACCTCTTAATATTATCACATTGGTGATCGGATTTCAACATAAATTTTGAGGAGGCACAAACATTCAGACCATAACAACTGGAGAGAACTTTACAGTTCCCAAATTGGCCTCTGCAAGGAACAAAAGGTCAGGAAGTGAATGAGCATGGGGTGGAAGTATTTGGATGGTGTTCTCCTGGATATAGCTGTCTTCAGGTTGGATCACACCTTTTCTAAAGTGGAAGGCACCTTTAGGAGGTGTTGGCCAGAGACCCCTGATATATCTGCTTCTGCATTAGCCTAGAACCACAGAAACCAGCCGGTGAGAATTTGAAGGCACGTGAGGCATATTTTAACTGTTGTCTCCAGTCCCCCATTTTACTTTTTTTTTTTTTTTAATAACAGATAGTAGTCCCAGAGCAGTTCACTTGTGAAGTGGCAATCTGTGTGATTTGTTAATAATTGGAAGTCCTCCTGTTTTCATCAATCATATTTTCTTGCCATTTGTTCTTTCTTTTTAGTGTGAGAGGTTATCACCTAGCTAAAATTTCAATGTGTGAGCATTGATCATTCCTGGACACAACAACACCAACATTTGCATGGCACTTTCTAGTATGCAGAAGCACACATGCAATCACCAATTCATTTGATCTGAATTTCAGAACAGCCTTCTGAGGTAGATGGTTAACCCCACCCTGGAGACAAGAAAGGGGAGTCCTAGTGAGGTCAGTCTCATTCAGGGTTGCTTCACTGGGATTCTTGACTTAGTAGACAATATCACATGAATTGACTCACAAAGAAGTGTTATAAAATCTCTTGAAGTTCAGTACCCAAAGGGGCTTAAAGGTAATTTGGTATTTTGTAAGAAACCTAAGGTTAAAGGGGGTACGTCATTTGCTCACCTCCTGCAAACCTGGGTTTTTCCACAGGTTTTTGTTGTTGTTGCGTTTGGCTAAGCAGTAGTCGATGCATTTTTTTTTTCTCTTAGTTAACATGTTTCTGTCTGATATTGCAGCTGGTAGACTTCAGGGAGGTGGTGTCCCAGATGCTAGGCTTGAACATGACCAGTCTTGCTCTTCCTGACTACGAAATCATCAAGTGTCTTGAAAGACTGATCCATTCATATCATCATCACTTCGTCACCTGTGCCTGCCTCAAAGATGTGACCACCAGGCAAGATAGGCATCCACAAGGCCACTTACAACTTCTTCATTGAATACTGTGTCTCTTGAGGAAGGTGATGCTAGAGATGGGACACAACTCTCAATTTCACAAATTCCCTGTATTTTTGCAATTTGATCAATGTGTGAATACCGTGTACTTTGATGATAGAGAGAGAATGCATCATTGGCAGATAAAACGGGTCTCAAGGGTGCTAGCTGTAGATAAATGTTCGGCACTAGGAACTCCTGTTATTTCATTTAGCAGCAGCACTTTGGGACGCAGAAGACTTCCAGCAGATTGCATTCTCTCGACTGAGAATTGAGAGTAGGAGATTTGCGTTTATGGGGTGTCTGTTGTGAGTCAGAGGTTTGACTAGCCAGTTTAATTCTCACAATTAACCATGTGGGAGAATCTTTAACATTTTTGTTTTTCAACCTCTCTGGGACTCACAGATGGGGATACCTACTGAAGGTTGCAGTTGGTTAGTGGTGGGACCAGGATAGAAAACATGTTGGCTCTGCATCAGAAGCCATGCCTTGTCTACAGCCCACAGCCTCAGTTTCTCCTGAATCTCTGTGGTGCTGGTGGAAATTTCCTGCATAGAGGAAGGAAAACATCCCTACGATCAAGAGTTAAAGTCCAGAAGTGATGGAAGTGGAAACTACATTATTTCTTTAAAACGCAATGCACCTAATTTATTTGGATAAAATATCCATCGATCTGAGGTCCTGTAAAAAACTTACCTGTTTTAAATGTTGCTACTAGATCGCATCTGGTGGTAATTTTTTAACATTTGAACAGGGCTGATCTCAGTCCTTTAACAACAAAAACCTTAATGGGAATCAAACACTATAAAATGAAGAAATCCTATACCATCTTCTTCACCGACATATCCGGTGCACTCACAGCAAGGGTACTTTTTCAAGATCAGGATTTTATTATGAATTTCTATCACTTTCTCCTTTTAAATTTCCTTTTTACAAATATTTTTCAAAAAACCATATTCTTAACTTCACTGAGAAAAACCTGTTATTTTTTTGGAAAGTTTATCTTATTTCTGCCATTTAAAATGCACCTTTTTATTGTCCCTGAAAGCAGTACTAGTGTCTAATTAAAGAAAAATGAAAAATTAGATGTAGTACACCCAAATATGAAGAAAAAATATAAAATATCCAGCCAACTGTTCACAAGTCGCTAAAAAGTCAGTCATAACCAACGCATTGGCTTCTTTCTTCTAAACTAAAAGAAGTTAAAGAGATAAAACTATAATCAATCACACAGGTTGAAATTAAACTGGATTTTGGTTTGGATTTAAAAAGCATAAACTATTCTTGCAGCCATTACATAAATTTGATTGTAAACTCAATGCTGACATTAAAAATTGTCTTTAATTAGTTTAAGCTTGATCAATGCACTCATTGTTTTACTTTACATAATTAAAAATCCACAAGAATCCATAGTTTAATTCTCACAATTATGCCAAATAAGGGGTAATAGGGGGAAAAATTGAAGATCTTCTTTTAAAAAAAATACTATCTACTAAATGTAGAATGGATAATTAAAAAAAAAGAGAGAAAGAAAATGAGAAATCTAAAAGAAAGCAAATGAGCTTGACACGGTATAAGTAGCATTTCGCAACTGTGTAAACACACCTGTGCTGTCCTGGCTGAGGACAGGAGCTAGCTTGGATGGGGCAGGAGAGGCAGGCTTGAGTTTTCTCTGTGGGAGACTTCTCACATGCTCCAAAGATGTGGTGGCTGCTGTTGTGGACTCAGATTGCCCTGAGTGGAAGAAGTGACGTCACTGGGCTCATGG